AGACAGCTCAGGATACTGGATTCTATAGTACTGAATACTGACTTCTTGAGATACGAGAAAGACTCAATAATATGTAAATGACTCACCCACCATTCAAAATGTATCATTAACGAAACAACATTTATTTGTAAATTATATCTTAAATATAAAATTTTCAATTGACTTAGCATAAGGTTTTTACTGGTGCTAGGACTTCTTGTGAGTCCACACGGGTAGGTGCCACCACCCTGCTTATTTCTGCCGTGAAGCAGTAGTGCGCTTCGATTTGAAGAGTGAAGCAGCCGTTGTACTATAAAAACTGAGACCTTAGAACTCATTTCTCAAAGTAGGTGGCGGCATTTACACTGTAGATGTCTATGGGCTTCGGTAACTACTTAAAATCAGGTGGGCCGTGAGCTCGTCCACCCTAAGCAAATCTAGGTCACCTAAACAATAAAAAAGGTATATTGCTTGATACGGATAAACATATTTAGGTCTCTAGCCTTATCAACATGACGTGAGCGGGGCTTGAAGATTTGTTGTAGAAACTAGGGTGTAACGCAAAATATGCTTAAAGCTCAAAATTACAGGTAAATATCTACTCAGCCTTGTAACCAACAAGATAAAAATTTCGAAGAAGAAATTAAGCACCACATATTTTCTCAACGGAGTATTAAATTCCTTGCAAAATACCCACCGGTGCAATAGTGTTAACCTTTTGTAGCATTCCGCTAACCATAATCGTTGACAACAAGGAAATCAATTAACTGCAACAAAATAATGTCCATTTGCTATTTAACGAACCCTTGTGTTGTGAGCAACTTCGACAAAAGACAAATATGCCTGTTTAATGTTTGTTCATCCATTTGCTTCAACAGTAACTGTTAGAGAGACTTGTACTGAAAAATATTTTCTTAATCATGTAAGGCAGGGGCTCCCAAACTTATTTTGTTTACTGCCCTCTTTGAGAATAAATTATCTTTTAGCGCCCCTATTTTTTCCCATACTTAATAACCACTATAACGAGAGTTCTCTAAGAGTCCTCCTAGATGAAATTACAAATCACCTCCCAAGCTTCTACACAATGCTCCCATTTTTTCTGGGTCTGTTACCCCCTTTAGGCCTGGAGCGCCCAAGGGGGGCATTATCGCCCACTTTGGGAAAAGGTGTAAGGGAAATGTTCTCGAAACCCAGGAATAGTGCAGGAGATTCCCGTTATTACAACTCTTAATAAAAACCTCGATGGAAATAGAAAATATTTGAAAAACGTTTTATTCTACACGCAATAATGTTACATTAAATTCTGTTGATAGTCGTTAATTTGGCACGTGTGATGAGGGAAATCTGGCTGCCTGACTTTATTGGGGTCTTACTGGGATCTGGGATGTCAGTTGTACATAAACACGTATCAGGTAAATAGTTACTTAAAAAAAGTACCTTTGAGCCTTTTGGACTTTGGAAAGGATTTGAGTCTCTGAGCTGTGAAAAAGCGAAAACCCTGGCCGAGAGCTTCACACATAGGTAGGCAGCGGCTTGGCTCTGCTCCTGGCATTGCTGAAGTCCATGGGTGACGGTAATCACTTACCATCAGGTGGGCCGTATGCTCGTCTGCCTACAAGGGCAATAAAAAAAATAAAAACCTTAACCAAGACTTTGAGCAAGCACTCTTTTTCGATATTTCGAATTAACTAGAAATAAATTGTTAACTGTTATATTTATTTTTTCCATTCGAAAATTGAATAAGAACGCCTTAATAATAATATAATCATTTGTGATCACAAATCCGCATGGAATATGCAGATGAAATGTTTTAATAGACAAATGCTATTGTACCTATTCTGGATTCGAATCATTTATCCGCATGAGCTTTGTGTGCACAGAAATTATAATAGGCAAACCGACACAATAGTATTCAACAGTCAAAGGTATTGTTTTAATTGAAGCTCAAAGTCCGTACGGTAGTCCTGCATCGCAGTTGATAAACTAATGCACAATGAACATTTGTGTAGTCTTTATAATTGTCAATGTTCACAAATACTTACATCTATATTAGTCTATACGTCTATACTAATATTATAAAGAGGAAAGATGTGTTTGTTTGTTTGTATTGAATAGGCTCCGAAACTACTGAACCGATTTGAAAAATTCTTTCACTGTTTGGAAACTACACTATTCGCGAGTGACATAGACTTCTTTTTTGAAAAAAATTAGAGATCTTTACTAAAACTCCAATAATGTAACCTAAGGTGTCAAAAAATTTACTAAAATTATTCTTTACAGGGCGTGCCCTGTGAAAACTATTGATGATAGATTAAAATAATGTAATACGACTTTGTAGAACACATTATTAATTACAAAAAGTGTCGCGACAGCATATATCTAACAATTATACTTATAGTTATACCGCAATAAGTGTTCTTTTATTAAAAAAACTAAAACAATCTCAAATATCGTTGAAATTTTTGTTAAAGACCCGAGCGGAGCCGGAGCGGGCCGCTAGTTCGCTTATATTTTTTTGTCTAATAAAGTAATGAATGTAAGTTCGCAAGGATAGGAATCATTATCTGGTCTATTTAAGTTACAAACCAGTCACGTGTTCCGGTTTAATGCTTAGGTCTGACTTTGTACATTATAATTGTAATTTCAACCTCATGCCTTAAGATGGGTGTCGATATTTGCTTTAGTATCTATGGAATCCGATAGCCTTTTAAAATTAGGAAGAACGTGATATTTTTTTTCTTTATTAAAGCCATACACTACTTTAATAAAGAATAAAAAAAAATCACGTTCTTCCTAATTCTAAGAGGCTAAGAACGTGATTCAACGCATTAAAAATAGCTGAATTGACAACATTTCCCTTAAAGATGAACTTTTCGTCAATGGACCAATAAAAGAACATTCCGAAACGAAGCAAACATAAGTAAATGGGTATAATAGTGAAATGTTGCGGATATTGCGCCTTGTTTACCGTACTGCAGACGTTTTTATAGACCGCATCCGCATTTATTTATCCGCATAAACGTTGAATGGGCTAATCTTGAAGATTAATGCTGTTAACATTAAGTCTGATGGCACCAGGATATTGCTGGTGAATGACCGAATTTAAACCATTTTTGAAGTTATACTTCTTTAGGCGCGTTATGAAAAATTGATGAGAGTGAAGTTTTTCGGATGCGCGCGCACCGTGACACAAAATTAACAGAATGAAGTTGCCCACAATCGATCGACGTAACTTGGCGAGTCTGAATATAGCCGCAGGTGAACTTTCCGAACCGTACCGAGAATTATCGAATTTATACGATGTCAAGCAAAGGGATGTCCAATATGCGTGTTTGAGGATGTTGTTTAATCGATTTTTTTTCAAATTGATTAAAATTTAAATTAAAAAAAAGAAATAAATTTATTAAAAATAAAGTATAACTTCTTAGGCGCGTACATAAGTACACGCACCCTTTTTATTTTCCTCTTTTATTTAAGTGCACATCTCAATAGAGTATAGATTCAAAGTCGTTGAACTAATATAACATACATCGTATATTATAAATGCGAAACCTTGCAAGGATGTATGTTTGTTACTTTTTTAAGCAAAAAGTACTAAGCTAAGTACAATGAAACTTCACAGTTCATAAACATCAGAATTGCATATAGGTTTGTATAGTATGATCGCTATAAGTGGGTCGCAAGTAATTTCAAGTGTCAGGAAATTTATGTTTTTCAAACAATTGGCAATAGCTATAGCGGATCTTGACCAGCCTTAACTCGTTTATTATAATCTATATATATAAAAATGAATTGCTGTTCGTTAGTCTCGCTAAAACTCAAGAAAGGCTGGACCGATTTGGCTAATTTTGGTCTTGAATTATTTGTGAAAGTCCAGAGAAGGTTTAAAAGGTAGATAAATATGAAAATGCTCGGAATTAAATAAAAATAACAAATTTATTTTTCCTTTTTGGTGTCCCCCGTCGGACGGATTCGTTTTGTTTGTTTTAAGTTTATTTTATACAAAAGTTTAGGTCTTTTGTTTATCGATTCAGGCACTACGTAGTCTGCCTGGTCAGCTAGTAGTAAATATTAAAGTTGCATAACAAAATGTTAAAGGAAAAACAAAAAGCCAAATATTTCCGCTTATCGCTTGGACGTTCTCCCAAAACCCGGCTGGATTCAGTCCAAAGCTCCCCTACTCCCGAGGGGAGTGCAACTGCATTGTGCCGATGTGATTTATAGCTGACTGCAATTCTTCTCATTGGACTTTAAATTAAATGTCACTTTTATTTTGTCTCGTTCGGGATTGCTGATTTTTTATTAACTTTTAATTTACGACGACAGTACTGATACCATTGATGAAATTAATGAGTTTTTTTTTTTTGGAATTGTCCTGTTTAATTATGAGAGAATGAGAGAGTCTTATAAATATTATTTGTTCTTTGTACCTCATATAGTACATTTGAAAATAGATTTTTCTTGTTCATTCTAATTGTTCCTTCTTTATTCTTTATTGTACACACAGTTAATACAATGCAATAGTTGTGAAAACTTATAAAATGGCGAACTAACCGTCCTTCGCACCTTATTTAATACAAAGTCGAAGTTCCCATTCCAAACGAATAATTGTTATTGTTTTGATTGAAGATTACGAATGGACATTTACTTATCCAAACATCTACAAGGATCTCACAAATAACCCATTATTCTTTGTAGCAGTAACAGGAGAGTAATATAAGCGGGCTACAACATGACTTACCGGTAAACTGCAACAAAACACTATTTTAATTAAATTTAAACTGTAATACTGCGTATCTAGACGATATGATAGACTACGTATCTTGTCATTATCTAACAAATGATAGTAGCGGATACTAATTAATCACTTCCGGTCCAACACATTAACAGCCAGTCATAGACAACAAATTATTACATCGATCGTAAGCAGTGATTAAAGGCTTAGGGTTGTCCCCTCAAAATAAATATCGATTCGTAACACGCCCGGAATCTGTTGATTAAACCCTAATCTATTGTTGCAGGTGACATAGAAGACTGCATCGTGACGCCGGCATACCAGGGGCAGTTCACGCCGTTACCCGAAGCACTGTGCGATTGTATAATGGATCTTACGTCCCAGGTGAGAAGAATTTTGTTTGGTGCGCAATTCGGAAAACAGGAATGCTTCGATTGAATTCTGGCAATGAAAGTGATCTCTTCCGAAAATAAAGCACCTTGATTAGATTTAATTAAAAACAAGCATAGAACCGATGAAAATTAAAAGTTTTTGAACTTATTTTGTCATCATGTTTATATAGAAAAAAAAACTTTATATAAGATAAAATGATAATGCTGAATAAGCGATATACCTTGTTCATCATAGAAAACTATGACAAGGCAATTTTAGATTTCGAACGCGGGATTATTCAGCAAAATTACCGTGTGCTCTACAACAGAATCATAATTAGGGTCATTGGTCTGAAACCTGACTCGTATTTAATTGTCCGAGGTTCGTTAAAAACAAAAGACTTGTGTGAACTGGGCCAAAAAGAATTGATTCAAAAAACAAGATTTAAAAAACTTTCACTAGCTTGCACTTTTATTAATTATTGTAATATTTCAACGACTGGATTGAGATCACGATCGACCTATTTACCTATTGTGTCTCGTTGAATTTGTTTAAGTGCATAATGTGGTAAAAGTTGAATAAACAAAAGAATTGAGCTGCAAACGAGACAGATATGATAAGGTGGGGCTCCATATTGGAACCCACGACTGCTTAATGCCCATACGTACATCTTCTTATGAGAAAACCATGCAAGCGGGCACAATGCTTTGCCTATGTCTCATTCGCGAAACAGCTACTCTTGAGCCGTTAGGTCTCCTTTGGAGGCGCTCGGGTAGCTGTTAGCAAATTCTACCCCTCCTGGCTGATCCTTAGCTCACCCAACTAACCTGGTAAAATTGGAAAGGCCTCCAGGTCACCAGTAACTTCTCAAACTTAAAAAAAAAACAACGAAAGTCAATACATAGCTTAAATCAATCAGACACAAATTTGAATTGAGAAAAGAGATGTTTTGCTAAAATACAACTCTTTACAAAATACAACATCAAACGTTGACATTTCAAATATAGATTATAATTATTATTCAATCGAAACCAAGCATAAGTTTAATCAATCGAGATAGCGGAAAATATCTTTGGATGTTAATTGATTCTAAACACGTTGTTTTGAATCATTAAATAAACATCATGGTGTCGGGTCAGTCCAAACGGTTTTTGATACCGGTACGGTGACTCTTGACCATGAAAATAAAATAAAACTGTTATCCGTGTTTCGTGTTCGCGAACCAGTTTTCGGTGTGTGGTACAAATTTATGATAGAAGTTAGCTAATATTGGAATATTGATGACATAATTGTACCATCACAATTCAGTTATAATAAAGTCGATTGATGGATTATGAAAACATATAAGTAAAACTAATTTATGCATTTTTTGTCTTAGTTTGGCAAAAGAAATCACGAACGGCCGAACTCTCAGACTTAAAAATAAAATTTGCTTCGGAGCGGAAATAATTAGGACGTGTGCGTAGGGGTTGGTTCATAAGTACAGCTATTTTAGTTTGCTTTCCTATCTAATATATAATCGCTGGTAGCCTCAAGGGGCTGTTTCATTTACAAGCTTTTAGGTTGGCGAGCTCATAGGGCTTATTCTGAAAGAAATATCAAATTAGTGTTAGGGTTAGTGTCCTAACGACTGCAGTGCTTCGCCGAAGCTACCACTGAATCGAAATCGCTATCCACTGAGAAGATCCGGCGAGGAACTGAGTGAGTTTTGCCTGTGGATTAAGTTTCACGTCGATCTCTCCGTAGTATTTGAGAAATTCGAAATGATCGATGACTGATGCTTGGAATGCCTAAAAGCACCAAAAGTGGATCGGGAGGATCCGAAATGACGTGCCTAGAATGTCGGTGTCTGTGTGTTTCCAGTCCTCTGGGTTGGGTATGTAATTAAAGGGTTCTTTGAGTAACGACCCGTTCCACCCGTGGACGGATTTAGGCAGATTTTGGTTACTTACTATGTATTCACTTACTATAGAGGTTCATAAGGGCATCACTTATCCGCGTCTGGGTGGCATCCAAATTGTGATGTTTACGAGCTCCGGTAAATAAAGTCATTGAAAAAAAAAGTTACGAATTCAAGATCAAACTGATTATCGGAGTCCATAATCGTTACAAAATAAACGCCACTACGTTGAAGCTTAAGGTGAATGTGTCAATAATATTGGTTCTTTATTTAATAGAAATATTAGTGATATTTACTTTATCACAACACGCTTATCGCCTTCAACTTGTGCCAAACGTCAATGGCTCATCCCAACCTCTTCAAAAATACCAAATTTGTTTTTGACAGTAACACACCTAAAAATAGCAAGCATATGAGCTCATCAAATGGAACTAAGCAATGTTTAAAAATTATAAGAAGGATTTCCATGTTTTTTTTTCTTCTTTGTTTTGTAATACAAATTTAAGTTATATATAAGAATTTGGTTACCAACAATCAAATACCGATTCTTTCATCTCAATGTCCGTTCGTGATATCTCTCGTAATAGTTCTTCTTTTAAAAAAGCCTGAACAAAACAGCAGATCATTTACATAAATCACAACAGGTAGGATAGCCTCAGGCGAACAATTATTCAACTGTATAATTTTAAGCAAGCCTACAAACCTTATTAAGTATTTGTCAACCGCTACGCATAAGCGGTTTAATTGTCAGTATAGAATTAAGATATTACTTTCAAGGACCATGGGCGTTATTTCGGAAACAGTAATCTGTTTATAACATATTCATTGGTACAAATAAATCAATTAAGTAAGATAAAAGTGTCTGTTTGTGCTGTCAAAGTATATCTTATTATTAATTACATACTAAAGTACTTACGGCGTATAACAAAAACGATTATAATTTATTTTGATTGAGTGTTTGTTTTAAACATTAACAAGGAATTCGTTTATTTGGAATATCATCCATGTAATGCGTTGTGAATATGGATTCATAAATATTTCAAAATGTTGCTGACTAGTTCGTCGTTTGTCGCTTTGATTAATAAAATTGTCGGATTAAACTTTTTTTTTTTAAATACAGTTATAAAATTTCATTGCTTTAAATTTTCATTTAATGTTGTTGTTGTTGTAGTCCTAGGGTACCCCGCTGGTACATAGGGCCCTCACAAGTTGTCTCCACTTTACCCTGTCTTGCGCTTGCTCCTTGACATCACTCTAGGTCCCGTTGGCAGTCCTCATCTCACTCTCCACGGTGCGTCGCCAAGTGTGTGCAGGGCGACCAGGTCTTCTGCCAAGCGGTTGCCACTCAAGCGCGATTGATGCTGCGCCGTAGAGTGTGTCCTATCCAACGCCAATTCCGCTGAGCAATGTCTTGCGCGATGAGATTTTGGTCACATTTAATCCAAAGGTCTTTAATAGAGATAGTGACTGGCCAGAATATGCGGAGAATCGACTTCATTTAATAGATCAAGAATAAATAGACTATCCCATTTATGCATAAATTTAATAAACGACTAAACTAAGTCACGTTAATACCTTGCACATTCCAGATCCGAAGGTTGTGTTACAAAACAATGTTACAGATAGGTTAGATAAAATAACAAGACTGAATTTGCATTGGTATTCGGGGCGTTGGCATGTGGCTGCATTATAGAACAAGACGTGAAAAGAGGATTATGACACTAAATAACTCATACGTTATTAATTATTAATAGATACAATAAATATTTATCACTAGTTTTCGAAGACGCACAACAGCTCGTTTACATGTTAAATTATAATTATAATAGTGAAATAACGGTGATAGAACAGTTAAAAAAACACACCCACACAAAGAAAATCTAGGTGTCAGCTCTGTTACACACACTCAAGTATGATTGACATGAATGTACAATAAGAAAAATTATAAATTCACGCATCTCTCATAATATAAATAATTACACTGAAATTTTTATTTTATTCATAATATTAATTCGATAAAATAGTATATACACACATATATTATATAACATAAATAATACGTTTGCAGCCAAGTTTTGTATTGTCAGATTTGTATATATGTATGTGTATTAAAAAAATATTTTTTTTTTAATATTCCGCGTAGATAACGATACCAGATTTTAACATAACATATATAATTGAATCTTAATTAGTATTCTATAGATTTGATAATTATATGTACATATAAGCAATGTATCAAATCACATCCATCTATGCCAAATTTTGATACACTAACTCAATATGTTGCACAATACAAATATCAAGTAGACATTTCACCAAACTGACGTGGCTCCACAAATTTTAACAATTAGCATTTTTGATTCTTCAAAAGTATTTTATCATAATCAATGTCCGCGCTACTTAAGCTAAGACTGCATTGAGCAGAATCAACCTGCTTTATTTGAATTAGCTGCAGACATAAGACGATTTTATCTATATATATAAAAATGAATTGCTGTTCGTTAGTCTCGCTAAAACTCGAAAACGGGTGGACCGATTTGGCTAATTTTGGTCTTGAATTATTCGTGGAAGTCCAGAGAAAGTTTAAAAGGTGAATAAGCAAGAAAATGCTCGGAATTATATAAAAACAAACAATTTTGTTTTTCCTTTGATGTGTCCCCCGTCGGAAGGATTCCTTTTGTTTGATTTAAGTTTATTTTATACAAAAGTTTAGGTCTTTTATTTATCGATTGAGGCACTACGAAGTCTGCCGGGTCAGCTAGTTTTATAATAAATTTAAATGTGAACTTTCTTAAGCCCCAAAAGTAACTTGTTTATTCCTACTATTCTTTAACATGTTTTACGTACATAATCATTTGTTTACGTAATACAAATGATTCCTATTGGCTACCAGATACAAATTACAATTGTCAATGTCAGTTTATAGCATTGAAGGTCGATCCGGAAGAACAAATTTAAATTGAACCCTAAATCTAAGTGACAGTATAGTTGAAATCGGTCTAAATAAATCAGAAACGAAAAGAGTTTAGTGTTGGAGCATTATTGGATTCGGATATTACTTATTGTTAAAATTGTAAAAGGTACAGATTTTATTAATTATGCTTAGTACAAATAAAATATCTATCTATGTGTATTTACAATGGCATGATTTGGGATCTAAATCCTAGTTGGGGGCTAGATGACAGTGTGTTATTTTTCCCGGATTATTTATTATTATAATATTGTCATTATTTGATCATTTATATCTGCCACGATTAATAGTATTACTGGCATCAACAGGCAGTTTACGCCATGACTCTTCTCATATATTGAAACAGACAGATAATTTTGATATTGCCACGCTCGAGGTGCTAAGTTGAAATTAAATTGTAATGCGTAATAATGCCTGTCTGATTATTCAACCTAAAATACAAGATTTTTAATTCAGCTTTTATAGATTATTAAGAGAGAGAGAGACTCATAAATTCATAAACTTTCAGGTAATTTAGAAATCTAAATACGAATGGTCAAAAGTTTAGTAAAATGCGTAGGTCAACTTTACAAAAGTATCTAAGACTTATAAACAAAGCTGGTGTAAATAAGTATTATAAAAAAATGAGAAAAACCTTATTCCTCTAACATTCGAATTACTCAAACAATCCATAGGTATATTCGGATATTTACAAATTCGATTATCATTTCACATCTCTAATTGAATGAAGACATCCTACCCATTCAGGTAGATTTAGATTACGGTTGATTGATGACCAAATCTTTTTATTCCGTTGGCTAATATTTATTTGCGAATGTGATTGATCGATTTTGTCTCATACTTCTATAGCTAGGTTAGATTTTTCGATAGTGTAATTACACGGAAAACACATTACTTAATCGAGCAATTAAGAGTTATAAATCATATCAGTGTTCTAAACTCAATGGCGATGTAATGAAATATTAACTTAGATTGTCCTTGGCGTACTGGATCTATTTATTCTTGTTTCGTCAGACCCACCTGTCGTCTTTCAAATAAATCTGTTCGCTAGCTAGAACTTGATAGATGTAGAACTTAATCTAGGTCTTTATCCAATCCCTTTGTTTTGAAAGTATCCAAGGTCTCAGCTCGTTCATGTGTCGCCGTCGCTTAGTGAGAACAGATTTAAATTATGTACATTTAACAATCGATTATCAAATTAACTGATTAGAGAAATAGTAGATTAATTATGTGCTAGCTTCTTAGTAACTATTGTGTTTGTGTCTGGAGCTCTTGAGATTCTAGCAACAGTCAATTTCGCGGCATTGGTTATTTACAGACTTCTACTATCTATCATCCATGACTTGGTGTCAATATCTTTTACGAAATTTCATTCATACGTGATTGATTAAAAAAAAGTGCAAACATACTCAATTTCAATATTCTAGTATAGATAATATTATAATATATTAATATCAAACTAATTTATAATGCTTACTGGTGGTAGAAACTCTTGTGAGTCCGCACGGGTAGGTTATTTCGGCCGTGAAGCAATAATGCGTTTCGGTTTAAAGGGCGGGGCAGCCGTTGTAACTATACTGAGACCTTAGAACTAATATTTAAAGGTGGGTGGCAGCATTTACGTTGTAGATGTCTATGGGCTCCAGTAACCACTTAACACCAGGTCGGCTGTGAGCTCATCCACCCATAGAAGCACTAAAAAAAAAAGGCTAAAGTTTGCTTTACTAGAATATTAATGAAATTTAAAGTGCCTTCCTTCTAAGTTTTGAACATTGTTTCAGGGTCAAGCGGCCACGCTGGAGAGTATTAGGACGTCTCTATTGTCGAAGTTCCCATCAATGCAGACACCATCACAGGAGGTGGTTTACGATACCCTAGCCCAGCTGATGCAGGAGAGGAAGATATACCAAACCTCGAGAGGCTTCTTCATAGTGACACCAGAGTAAGTTATTAAATGTTTTTTCTTACGCTATCATCAATGACTTTATGATTAGTTTGACATAAATTGATTGGTAAATATTTGGCTTTTTATTAATTGCTATAGTTGAGAGACCGGCTTATTGTTCGTGTGGTGTTGAGGGGTCACCGGTGCTCATATAAGTTACAACGTAATAACGTATATAATTGTCGCCACTGACTTTGAGAGTTGAGTTCAAAGTCTCAATTTAATTGTATAATAGTAGTTTTATGACTGAAAACAAAACTAATTTTAATCAATCAGTCGGTTTTAATAAATCCTTAATTTTATACTGTTTCCAAAATATAACATTACAATAAATTAATTGACAAATTATATCAGATAATTATTGAACGGTAACATGTATGCCATCATCGTATTTTGAACATGGATGATGTAATTTATTGATAGCCATTCTGTATTAATAAACCAACAATTCTGTTTGTCTGCAACATTAACTATTGGTCCGACAAGTCGCGCTTCACGTGTTCAATATTAATAAAATCGCTGTGAGTCAGTATGCGCCGTTCCGAGATGTCGCCAATCGCCTATTGAGGGCATCTTGTGCAAAACGAACATGCCCTGCGTATTTAAGAGCCCGCCATTTTTGGCACTAAACTTGACATTAAAAGTTTTGATTGTGAAGTGTTTCGATTAGGAAACTGTGCGATTTAAATTACCTATTTATTTATGCAAGCATTGAACGGCAAGTAAAGCAATTTTTTTGAGATTCTTTTTGTAGAGTAGTGTAGAGTCCTATAATCTATCTGAAATTACTACCGAGTTTTAAAAATTTCATCCCAAGTCGGGGTAGCTGTCATATAAGAAAAAGGACACGCATAAAGATTGATGACGTAATCGCTGTTATGATGCTAGCGAGCGAGAGAGATAGATATGTATCCATTAATTCTTCCTTTTACCTATTTCTAAATATGAATTCTTTTGTGATATTGCTATGACTATTAATATTTAAAAATTGTTACGCCCGTAAGAGTAACACCATCTATCGGTGAATAGTCGAACGAATATCGAAGGATCTAGTAGCATCTGGAACGCTCGAGAAGTACAACGCCATCTATTGTCAGAGAGCGGAAACAAACAATACTCGACTTTTGTGGAATATACTCGACGATTCTAAGGATTTCGTCTCGACTATAAAAGCGTTGCAGAGATGGCACGCAGCCAGTTAGTAATCAGAACTACTCGAAACGAAACAGCAAACGGATTACCTGGCGCGAAGCGAATTGAGAGTTTTAAAATGTTTGTTGAATTTTTTAAGTGTTCTAAGGGTTGAATACAGTTTTTAGTTGTACTTTGGTGGAATTTTATTTATTCCGAACCCCAGCGCGTAACAATATTAATTAGATATTTAGTCAAACCATCATGAAAGATTGTGTCCCAAGATATCTTTTCCAGATTTTCTATGTTCATTTTTCTAAGCTATCGGAATACTTTCCGACTGTTACAATAGATACAATCAAATGTTGAATGAATCCACGTATAATTACATTGTAAATTAAATTACGAACATAATGTGCTTTTTATACCCGATACTAATTTGGTTTATTCTCTGCGTAGGCGTAAAATTGTTTTTGGTGCGCAAAAAGGAAATGGGTATTGTTGTAGCCAACGTGTAATATCGTTGGGTGTCAGGAAACTCAGTAATGTAGAAAAAAATCTCTGTAAGCAATTATGTACTGTATACAATTTTAAATAAAGTTTTAAATTGCTGTCTTATTTTTAGTTTGGACTTTTCTGGTTTTCGTAGTTTATTGATTGTTATGTTTTAGGCAATTTTTTCTTGTTGTTTTTTGTTACTCAAAATTACAACACCGTGATAAATGCGAAAAGGTCTTTCTCGTTTTCTTCACATTTCATGCACCTATGATCATAAATGTAGCGGCTCCTTCAAGAGACCACCATCGCACTATTAGCTGCAATCTTGATGTCCATGGACTAAATCCGTCTCCGTTACTTGTAGGACATTCTAGCTCCGCTGCAGACCTCAGCAGTAAAAATAATATATAAGAAAGAACACTGATGCCAAGGATTCAAAGAAAAAAAAAACATAAATTATGTAATAAGCAGAATGAACACTAAATGGAACATAGAGTTTGCAATCGTTTGATATTTAGCGTATCGACCGACATTGGACTAGTTTGTGACACGATATATTTGGGTTTCGAGGGCCTACAAATGTTAGAAGCAGACCGCGGGCTCAAGGATGTTTTTAGACCCTTACCAGACAAACGACTCTACTAGCATTCACTCACCTGACGTCCGATCTCAAAGTAGCAGGGCAGAGTAGGGGGTTCCCGCTGTCCAACCTATAATCAGACTTGCAGTGCCACATCGAGGAATTCCAATGCGATCGTCAACTGGCAACGACGCTGGTTTCCGCGGCACTGTGGCCCGTCAGGCCGACCGGGCCGGCCCACATGTGTTCCGGGGACGTATGTACCCTGGTCATTAGAATCACTTTCAATCTGAACAAAATCTTAAAGCTCTTTGGGGTTTTACCGTAATTGCATTTGTAATCAGTACCAATAAGACAAGAGAAAATTTTATCTTACGGCGTTGAACGTGAATAGCCTTTTTTTCTATTAACCTCAAGATTCATTCGATGAAGTAACGTTACAATCGATCGATGATAACCATTTTGTTAATTTAGCTCATTACGAACATCTCTATAAGATCATTAGTGCGCATTGTTAGAGAATTTGTTTTTGAAACATGCTCATGGTCGATTTTGCGTAATATTACCGATTGAGGTTAATTAATGCTTTAAGACCTGTCAAATAAAATGCGGTTTGCAAATATCGAACACTTGTTGTTAGACACATGCAGTCCCAATTATGATTGCTACGAAGAAATGAACATACCAACACTGTCAACAACAGTTTGTATTGATTTATTGGAAAGTCCTTTCGTTGATTTTCTTATCCATAATGTGGCCATTTCTTTTTGTAAAGCATTCAGTGGTATAGAAACATACCCGGAAATACATATTGAAATAGAATATGAGTAGAGCTGTGGGGTGTACATAATCTATGAACTTGAATTGTTTGAAGAGAGCCAACTCCGAAATTTGTTTAGGTATTCAAATCCTGGAGTAACTGCGTTCATCCACAGGCTTTGGAACAAGCTCCTCGCCACGGTGCTTCCTGAGCGCTATGACATGTCCTTCTTCAAAGGAGGCATGTAGAGTACTTAATAGTAAGCAGCGGCTTGGCTCTACCCCTGACATGTAATCACTCACCATCGGGTGGGTCGTATGCTCGTCTGCCTAAAAAGACAATAAATAAAATACAATTCGTCAATGACTGTTTGAATTGGAATAAAATGGAGAATCGAAACAATTTTAAGAAAGATCGTCAATCATCGTGTCGCCATGTATCATGTCATCGTGTATTATGCGACTGTTTACTTCGATATCAATGTGGCTACATTCTGACTCCCTTTCAAAATTCTCTAGAATTTCTTGAACATATAAGCAAATCGCTCGTAGGGCTATAGTAGGGTCCAAATAGAGATTATTTTTCGAAATACGTTTTCATTTTCAGTAGTTCCACCAATCTCGTACTGTCGAAATTACTAAATCAATTCAATGCTATCATGCAATATAGTTCAATATAATTATTTATACAACCATTAAAATCTGTTTATCGATAGTTTTCTACACTTACTTATTTCACACTAAATCGTTTTGTGATCGATTATGTTGACATCACTACGAAATATTGTCGTAGCCTGATTGATATCCGTCAAATTGACGTAAACAAAAACTTTGATGATCTAAAGCAAAAAAATTACCTATCATTCAGTAAAATTGTTGCATTAAAGTAAGCCTTACTGACTTAAATTAAGAGCTATAAAAACGTGATGCGGATGTTCTGATGGAAAAGCAAAGGTCGTGTCATTAATGAGAATTCCTATAAGCCTGCAAAAAATCCCATACCTGGTATCACTGGCGTGGAAATACTGTTCTGTCTCTCGATATTGGTTGAATGACAAAAAAGTATGTAATTATAAAATAAATGAAACTTTGTTCTCTGTGTTAAAGGTCAAACTTGTATAACAAAAATCAAGGCTCCTCAAATCAAGGATCTATATGGTTTAATACATTTTCTATTAGTATATTTAAATAATGAGTAAATAAATAAATACTTGTAAAGAAAAACCTTTATTATTTTAAACTCATTAGAATTTAAAAAGGACTTTTCTTCAGTGTCATGTAATTAATTTTTAAACAGGATTATTCGTCAGTGTCATGAAGTGAATTCTGTCATTCAGTAAAAAGAGAGCTCAGTTTTAATATTGTTTACTGTTTAATTTTTAATATTAATTTTAAAAGAGATTACGGGTTTTAATATTGTTTTCTTATTATATAACAGAAAAGGAAGTTAAGTCTTTCATTGTTAATTCATTCTGAAGTACTCCATATCATTTTGTACTTTTAAAGTATCACTTTATAATTTTTTATAGCATTATCTGACATTACCAATATTCAATAGCGACCTAGAGATGTCACAAATTTTTACTATAGACGTAGGTCTCAAATATATTAAGTGTATAATCTATGGACGTAGGTAACTAATGGTGAAGTTAGCCTCACTTATCTTTTAATAACAATAATAAATAACAACCTACCCGATGACATCACTGACATTTTTACTGTATTAAATAATACTGTTCAAGAAATGAGGCGAATTAAAAAAATTCAGAAAAAAAAAGAGTATTTTAATCTTATGATGACGTAGATGCACCATTTTGTGTGATGACGTAATTATTGAATAAAGCTATACAGAGTGTTAAGTTAAGCCGCTTTGGGGAAAAATAACTGGTGCCCTTTAATATTTTTTTAATCCTTACCAAAACTTTAAATGCCTAATTCTAAATGCTTCGAAACGCGTATCTGTATTGTAATATCCAATAGGCTTTTTTGGGTAAATAAAACAATTTCTTCATATGAATGAAATCCAATTCGTTATTACCAATTTTATGAATGTCCACAGACGTCGTCGGTCCAGGTCCCGTTCATCATCAAGACACCCCAACAGCCTAGACGAAGAATGTCCATCTCCCCGCACCATTCTCATGTCAGACCAGGAGGCTCTGCATCAGCTTTACGGAGAGATCACCACGGTTAGGGATGGAGCCGTGACACATCAGTGTGTGCAAACGAACCTGGCTGATGTAATTTGTGGAGGTGAGATCATTAATTTTAAATTAGAAATACCTTTGTTAATCGTCATAGATGGGGCGCGATCTCGCCGACCTTATGCTAAACGGTAGTCCATAGAAATAACAATATGAAAGTTGCCACATGCAATCGATGTCTTTATTCCTTTTCAATAGTGGCCCTTTGAATCGGAATTCACTTAAAGTATCGTTTATGACAGATTTCGATTGTACGGAATATAAAAATTAATTATACTTATAAACAACTGCACAATCTTAAGCGCCTTGTGGGACGACCGACAAGGACAGATAAAGGTCACAGAAGCACGCTGTGACTCGACCGCTTCAAACCGGTCATTAAAGATATCTCTGGGAGAGCTTTGAATATAATATAAAAAGGGACATAACAGCAGGATTACCATTTACGGTCGATATGATAAGTATTTTAGATAAAGTTACCAATTTAATCTAACTAATTTCTTACTTTGACACGCTTTTATGAGCTTGACCTTTGTCTACCTATTTATCTATGTAACGAAATCTTTTAACGATATTTTCAAGAAATTCAAAAGGTATACATAACTTGAAAATTCGCAAGAATGTCAAGGAACAATTACGATTTAATAATTTTATTACTTGAAAATTAACACTTAACTAGCTATGTGAGGCTGTTTTCATTTTATTTCGGTCTGGAAGATACGATAGTAATACGACACTAAGGAGACTCTACCAAAGTCTCAAGTGTCAATGTAGGCAATACAACCAAAAAACTTCTTTTAGCAGATTTGTAAACCATTAGAGTTTGTTACTTTAGTTAAAAGTTATCTCTTGCGATTTTGATTTACTTTGAAACATTTTTTCTATTTAAAAATCACTTTGGTACATTCATATTTTAATGATGCATCAATAACGATTTTTGCTCTTTTTAGTAATTAATTTCATCTTTTAACAGATTTCTAAACCATTACAGTTTGTTAACTTAATTAAAAATTATCTCTTGCGATTTTGATTTACATAGAAACATTTTTTTCTATTTTTAATTCACTTTGGTAGATTCATATTTTAATGATGCATCAATAACGATTTTCAGTCTTCCTAGTAATTAATTTCAGCAGATTTTTCCTAAAAAAGCACTACTTAATAATGCATATTTAACTTGATTAAAAGCTTCAACCCGTTTCTAAAGAGTTGCATAAGCGATTCATTAAGTTGCGGCCCACTTTATACATCAACTTAATAGCTTAGGTGACCCGTAAGTTATGGGTCAGCTGAAAATTGCCGCAATGCTCTGGTAATACTTGTTTATACACTAAAACAGAGATCTAATTGGAATTTTTAAAATGTTGGATTCTTGCCTGGTTTTGAAACGTGAAAAGATTATGTGGATTCTTTCAAATATGAGCAGTGGTGCTTCTGGAGTATCTGCATTTACTGACGGAAGGAATGTATTGGAAGCTCGTAGGAGCCTTTCACCATTACTAATGGTTACGGAGAGTACCAAGAGTAACTATACTTGAGACCTTAGAACTTATATCTCAAGGTGGGTGGAGCATTTACGTTGTAGATGTATATGGGCTCCAGTAACCACTTAACACCAGGTGGGCTGTGAGCTGGTCTACCCATCTATTCAATAAAAAAAATACAGTACAGTACATTATACAATGTATATATATCGACGCTTGAAAGGCAAACGTGACTAAGCGACAATAACTGCTTTGTACATAAATGATAGGCAATAACCATATTCGATGCGCAAAAAAAAACATATATTTTTAGGTATATTAAAATCATTTCAATCCTACAGCTACTAGCTAGATTCTACTACAGCTGGATTCGTTAAAATAAATTTTGTTTTCAGGTATTTCAACTTTAAATTAGTCTACTGTAAAGTTCACGCATTGTCGCTTAGTCACGTTTGCCTTTCAAGCGTCGATATGTACCTAATTGTCCGAGCAAGTGACGTACATATAACATTTTAATACAATTTCTACCATTCTTGAATCACTGTTAATAAAAAAGACATTATAGTTATTCCGTTACTAAAATAAGTGGTGACCCATTTGATATTTAGATTCCAGTAAATTTAACCTATTTTAAGGTCGACATAAATATATCATCAATGAAATGCCCGTTTTCTTGGCAAACGGACAAATCCGAATTATTCTAACTGCAATATGATCTAAATTCCTAAACTCAAATCAACTAACACACGGTAGGCCATTTTTCAGCGACACCAAAGTACCCTGAATTAAATCAATGAACTTCTATTTGATGAAAAAACTCAATTTAGAAGTAAATTTGGCTATTTATATTTTTTTATTTATTGCATAGATAGGTGGACGAGCTCACAGCCCACCTGGTGTTAAGTGGTTACCGGAGCCCATAGAAATCTACAACGTAAATACGCCACCCACCTTCAGATATAAGCTCTAATTTCTCAGTATAGTTACAACGGCTGCCCCGCCCTTCAAACCGAAACGCATTGCTGCTTCACGGCAGAAATAGGCAGGGATGGTGGTACCTACCCGTGCGGAATCACAAAAGGTCCTACCACCACTTCTAATATAAACGTGCTAAAAATGGTCCAAAACGCGCATCGGATTAACATAATCACCTTATCGACGACGCATTGCAGTCGCATATTCGTGCCGCTACATAGTCTATGTAGGCCCTATCAGAAAAAGTGAAACAGGTCAGTGGTGGCCTAATTCCGCAATGCGCACGAATTGCCGAGGTCCGTCGCGTGGGCGTTTTCGACTATACTTATGCATTCATTTTGATCATACAAGAAATATATTTCGAAATCCAAAATTATTGCTTCATTTTTTTGTCGACGAAAACTTTTTATTGCTAACGGTGTGTGAGCATTAAGTATCAAGCAGTTGGTTCACAGTTTGAGACATGAATGGAATGTCTCAATTATTTCGTAAATATCTTGATTTATCCTTGAAACTGGAGCATAACCGCTCCGTGACAGTAATGCGTAGGTGTTTATCGATCGTGCTCACCTCACATTTTATTAAAAAGTAAATAATGAACAGACAAATTTCCCAAATTTCTTTGTGTATTGCGACTAAATGGTCTTGTAAGTAGATAGATACTCAGTAAATTTTGTAAATTGAATTATTTTTGTTCTGAGCTGCATTTAAAGACTTATGATTCAAAGATTTCATAGATTCTCGTAACTAACAAATCCGTTGGTAGCAAACAAATAAAAATACAAGATGTTGTGTCTCAAATTGTTAATCTAAAATCTAAAATATGGCTTTTTTTTAAATCATAAAACGAGCTTTGCACTTCAATCTTGGGTTTGATGATTTTTGTGAGTCCATTTCGGTTTCAATGCCTTAATACTTTAGAGAGCTAATTTTAGAATGATTTTCTTCTTTTTCACTATTAACATCGATACCGAGTAATTTTTTTCTGGGCATGTTCAAGAGATCAATCACTATCGAGTTTCATAATGTTGTTAAGATTTAATATTTGTTTTTTATAACTTATTCTTTATTTTACATAAACATGTTCAAAAGAAAAAAGAAAAAAAAAACCTAAATAATAATTTTATATCAGGCAACCAAAATCGCAACGAAATAGAAGGTGGAAATTTGCCAAAACATACTTGATACTTGTTTTATACAACGTGCTTGATTTAAGAATAAATATGCAATTCAGTTAATTTAACAATAACAAAATTCTGGTTAATATTTCGTATTATTACGCGTTGAAACCATGAGTAACATTCTGTATTATTGATGACTAGCTGAGTCGCGACGCTACCCGCGGTTATTGTCTTACCGCGAGTGACGCCGTGGGGCGAAGCTAGTCCAAAAAAAGTAGCTTAAGTTACTCCTTATATCATCAACTACCTATCAGTTAAAGTCCCGTCAAAATCGGTCCAGCCGTTCCAGAGATTAGCCGAAACAAACAGACAGACAAAAATTGTAAAAAATATTATTTTGATGTAAGTGCCGTATATATATTCATACTAGCTGACCCGGCAAACATTGTTTTGCCATATATAAGATTTCTAGGGAATTTCTAGTGTAGAAAAAATACTAACTTATTGTGTAAGGATGTGGTAAATGAGTGAAAGAGGTATGTAGTGCTGTGAACGATGAGGGAATATATAATAAAAATAACAATACCTCATTCAACCACATAATACCTTATTATAACAAAAAAAAAATGTCCAAATAAAAAAAAAATGTTAGGGTTATGAAAAATAGATAGTAGCCGATTCTCAGGCTTACTGAATATCCATAAAAAATTTCATGAGAATCGGTCAAGCGGTTTCGGAGGAGTATGGGAACGAACATTGTGACACGAGAATTTTATATATTAGATGAATGTAGTAAAAAGCGGTTATTTCAATATTACAAACAAACACTCCAATTGTATTTATAGGTATAGATGTGATGGGAATAAAGCATTAGTGCGGGCTGACACAGCACGCCTACTTAGCTTTGCAAACAAAAGCTGCTCGTAATGTTCAATAGTCGAACAAGTTGTATGACTTCACTAAAACTAGTAAGATAAATGAATAGAGGCGTCAACACTAGAGGCAAACTACAAATAGATTCCCATTATTATTTTTATTTTTATTTTTTAATTGCTTAGATGGGTGGACGAGCTCACAGCCCACCTGGTGTTAAGTGGTTACTGGAGCACATAGACGTCCACGTTGAGATTCAAGTTCTAAGGTCTCAAGTATAGTTGCAACGGCTGCCCCACCCTTCAAACCTAAACGCATTAAGATGTAAATGTGTTCTGTTCGCTGAATTCATTGAGTCCATCCGTAAGGTCGCCTAATGAAGGTGATAAGGAAGCTTCTAAGTCCAAATCAGAGCTGGCTCACCTAAGTTTTAGCTTATAAGGTAACTGGAGAAATTCCGATGTAGATGCCAGTAGAACTTATGCAAATATATGTGGCATTTCCAATGAAAAAGTGAAGTAAGAAGAGTTTACCAATTACCTACTGTAGAATGAGCAGATCCGTAATATTGTATTTACAATACATGACTGTTATAT